AGGGAGAAGAGTAGACAGAGGCTCAAGCAGGTCCTGCAGACACTAAAATGTAATGGTCTCCTATAAGAGGAGGAGCTTAGAAAAGAATCTGAGAAGTGGCCAGAGAGTGGGAAACTCCAGGAGAGTTTGTCATAAGAGCACTAAGGAAAGGGACTGTTAGAGGGCAGTAGCTGCTGAGAGCTGCTGAGACACCAGTGAAGAGAACTGAGAAGTGTCCATTGGTTTTGGTGACATGGAGGTCAGAGATGACCTTAGCACTTTTTGGGGACCAAGCCATTTGGAAGTTGGTTGGGAAGCCAGACTTCTAAAATTTGGCCATGAAGGGTAGGAGAGGGAACAGGGAGGTCTGGGGTCAAGGTAGAGTTTGTCATTGTTCTGTTTTATTCAAAGATTGGAGAGTGTGTATTTTTCGTGAGATGCAACTGAAAGAATTTAAAGACAGAAAAGAAAGAAAGGATTGTTAGTAGTGTAGGGTTTTGGAGAAATGGGAGGCGGGGTGGGAGCCAGGGCATGGGTGGAAGAATTGGCCTCCATTAAGAGGAAGGAAGGAAGGGTGGCTCATAGTTGTAGGGTTGTAAATCCAGAGCAGGACAGTGCAGTAGTTTTCATCAGATGTCTTTTAGGCACTGTCATCTCTCAGGTGTTGGGAGTAGAGTTGGAAGCTTGAGAGTGAAGACTGTTTGAAATAGTTGTGGAGATAGGATCATCTGCTGGTGTTGGCAGGTCTGTTGAAGTTTGGGACCATGAATTTCTGGGGTTCCACTCTACCTATTGTGTAACTTTTCTCCAGTAGCACTCAGCAATCCAGGTCTGGGCGAGGGAGTTTAGACTGACAAGAGAATGACTGATAGATTGAGGAACCTAAGCTCGATTTAAAAAGGAAAACAAGGGGCTTCCCTGGCGGTCCAGTGGTTAAGACTCCGTGCTTCCATTGCAGGGGGCACGGGTTCGATCCCTGGTTGGGGAACTAAGATCCCCCATGCTGTGCTGTGCGGCCAAAAAATAAATAAAACAGAGGGTTTAAATGAATAAATAAATAAATAACAAGGAAAATGAAGGCTGGAAGCGGTGATAGAATGAAGAGATATTCTGGTATTAGAAGTACTGAAGACCTAGAAGAACAGAGGTATCTAGAGTGTAGAGCAAAGAGACCTGAAGTGTGGGGCCCAATAGGACATGGGCACATCCTGCCCAGGATGTGGGAGAATAATCAGCCTGTACCAGAGGAGAGTGTTGGTCTCTGTGGAAGACAGGTTTCCCGTAAGGCAAGTTTTGGAAGGCATGCTGAGTGAGGAAATTGAGGAAATAGATGAGTTGGCTGATTATAGAGCAGGAGTCACAGAGGGTACAGGGAAGTGTTCAAGAGAAGGGCTGGAAGGTTGGCTCAAGAGAAAGAAAGCAATATTACCAACCAGAATTCAAGTACAAAAGAGGTTAAATCACTGGGGGTGTGGGGGGATGGGGGGCAGGGGGGTGTAGTCCAGAGGACTCTTTTGCTCTTACTCTATCTAGAGGATTGTGTTCACAGTACCCACGTTTAAGGAGGACAAAGGGACCAGGAATATTTAGATCTGTTTATACATTAACAAATCTTTATTGAATTCCTGTAATGTGTGGAATGCTGCGTGACCGTGATAATGTATAGGTAATATGAGTCACAGTCACTGCCCTTAAGGAAGAGACATATATACCAACAATGAACTGCCATAGAGCAGTGTTACCGGGTCCAGCCAGGGGAACTGTGGTGAACTAGAGAGGAGTGCCTGAAAGGAGGAGCAGTTACTCAGCTCAGCTAATTGTTGCCCTGTGAGAATACAGACACAGGGTTGCCAGATTTTCTTATTATTTTTAAAAGGGACCAGAAATCTCTGTGTTTAAATGTAATTTCCTGACTTTTAAATGTCAGCAACTAATTCAAAATTTTCTTTAAAACGCTATCCAAATCAAGCAAAACACATAAGGGAGCTGCCATCTTGCAGCCTCTGCCATAGACTGTGATAAGTACAGGAATAGAAGAGTATTTTAGGCACAGGGGTGGCAAAGGAGGGAGTGACTCAGAACTACGTTGTATGAGGAATGGTTCAGTGGAAGGGGTGTTGTGATCAGCCTGGAGAGAGACGGACACTAATTTCTTTCTTTTTTTTAACTGGGGTGTAGTTGCTTTACAGTGTTAGTTTCTGCTGTACAGCGAAGTGAATCAGCTGTATGTATACATATATCCCCTCTTTTTTGGATTTCCTTCCCATTTAGGTCACCACAGAGCATTATGTAGAGTTCCCTATGCTGTACAGCAGGTTCTGATTAGTTATCTGTTTTATACATATTAGTGTATATATGTCAATCCCAATCTCCCAAGTTATCCCACACCCCCTTTCCCCCCTTGATGTCCATACATTTGTTCTCTACGTCTGTGTCTCTATTTCTGCTTTGCAAACAGGTTCATCTGTACCATTTTTCTAGATTCCACATATATGTGTTAACATACAGTATTTTTTTTTCTCTTTCTGACTTACTTCACTCTGTATGAGAGTCTCTAGGTCCATCCACGTCTCTACAGAAGACCCAATTTCGTTCCTTTTTATGGCTGAGTAATATTCCAGTGCATTTATATACCACATTTTCTTTATCCACTCATGTGTTGATGGACGCTTAGGTTGCTTCCATGACCTGGTTATTGTAAATAGTGCTGCAGTTAACATTGGGATGCGTGTGTCTTTTTGAATTATGGTTTTCTCTGGGTATATGCCCAGTAGTGGGATTTCTGGGTCATATGATAATTCTATTTTTAATTTTTTAAGGAATTTCCATACTGTTCTCCATAGTGGCTATATCAATTTACATTCCCACCAACAGTGCAAGAGTGTTCCCTTTTCTCCACACCCTCTCCAGCATTTATTGTTTGTAGATTTTTTGATAATGGCCATTCTGACCGGTGTGAGGTGATACCTTATCGTAGTTTTGATTTGCATTTCTCTAATAACTAGTGATGTTGAGCATCTTTTCATGTGCCTCTCGGCCATCTGTATGTTTTCTTTGGAGAAATGTCTATATAGGTCTTCACCCATTTTTTGATTGGGGTGTTTGTTTTCTTGATATTGAGCTGCATGAGCTGTTTGTATATTTTGGAGATTAATCCCTTGTCTGTTGCTTCGTGGATACTAATTTCAACTATTTAAAGGACTGTCAAGTGGAAGACAGGTTAGACTTGTGTCCCTTATGGCCTTAAAAGGTAAAACAGTGTCAACAGGAAGTATGTTGCAGCTCAAAATGGGAAAGAACTCTTAAATGACTAGAGATGCCTGAAGATGCAGTGCACTGCCTTGGACGGGAGCAAGTTGACAGGGCTGTAACGGAGGGGTATCTGGGGAAATGAGTAGGCTCTTCATCAAAGGGTCCCTTTCAACTCTGAAGTCCTACAGTTCTGAGTGGGTGAGGAACCAAGTGGACCTAAGAAATGATGAGCAGAGAGGATGTCAAGAAGGGCAAGCAGAAAGCTTATGAAATGGGAGATGCTTGAGGGCCTTAGAGGACTTTCCTGATTGGCTTGGGTAGGCAGTGACTAGACAGCCAGGAAGATAAGAGACTGTAGGACAGACCTGGGGTTTGGGAAGACAGGAATTGACCATCCCCTCATTCCTTCCTGAAGAGACATATGAGCGGCTTGAGGCTGACAAAAAGAAGCAGGTCCACAAGAAGCGGAAGTGCCCTGGGCCCATAATCACCTACCATTCAGTGACAGTGCCACTAGTTGGGGAGCCAGGCCCTAAAGAAGAGAATGTCGACGTAGAAGGGTGAGTGAGTGAACCTCAAGGGGAGAAGAGGAGTGCAGTTTCTCCCTTCTGTATTCAGCTTGTATTCCCTCAGCCCCATCTCACTTGCTTTCCTCACACAGCTCTCTAACACCTGAGTATCTATCAGATTCCTCTTCTGTCATCTCCTATTTCTCTTTTAGCCTCTCTCTTCTCCTTTTCTGGTTTTCCATCCAGCTCTGCTTTGTTTTGTCCTATCACTTAATAGGTTCTCTCAGAATGTTGCCACCCACTGCCGCCTCCTCTTTCCTCACCTGTCTGATCTCTTTATCAGTTTTCTCTCCTCAGCTTTTTTAAATTTTTAAATCATTTATTTACTTATTTATTTATTTGGCTGCGCTCAGTGTTAGTTGTGGTGTGCATGTGGGATCTAGTTCCCTGACTGGGGATCGAACCCGGGTCCCCTGCATTGGAAGAGAGGAGTCTTAACCACTGGACCACCAGGGAAGTCCCTCAGCTCTTTGTGTTTTTCTCTGTCTTTTCCCTCAGACTTGATCCTGCTCCCACAGCTTCTGCATTGACTCCCCGTGCTGGGACTGGACCCGTCATCCCTCCTGCTCGCTGCTCACGTACCTTCATCACTTTTAGTGACGATGCGACGTTTGAGGAATGGTTTCCCCAAGGGCGGCCTCCAAAGGTCCCTGTTCAGGAGGTCTGCCCAGTGACCCATCGCCCAGCCCTGTACCGGGACCCTGTTACAGACATACCCTACGCCACTGCTCGAGCCTTCAAGATCATCCGTGAGGCCTACAAGAAGTACATCACTGCCCACGGACTGCCGCCCACTGCTTCAGCCCTGGGCCCTGGCCCACCACCTCCTGAGCCCCTCCCTGGCTCTGGGCCCCGAGCCTTGCGCCAGAAAATTGTCATCAAATGAAGGGATGTCTAGTCCTTAGAAACCTCTTTCCTGTCCTAACTTGGGGCTCTTAAGTTAGGGCTCTTAAGAAGCCCACTTCTCCCCTTTGTCATTGCTGATCTTTGTCTAGCCCGTCTCTGTATTTCTTTCCCTATCTTTTCCCTTAGTTCCTACACTGCTTTTGTTTGTGTTTTTTAATCTAATAAAATAGAAAGATCCCTTTTGTCTGGTGTCTAATCTAAGTTGGGAGCAAAAAGTATTTGTGAATGTCTGCGTATATATGGGCCTTTATATTTGTTTAATAGCATTTATTATGAGTTGCCCTTTTTACTTATTTATTTTTTTAAGGATTATTTTTATTTTTTGGCTGTGCTGCGTGGCTTGCAGGATCTTAGTTCCCTGACCAGGGATTGACCCTGAGCCTTCAGCAGTGAAAGCGCCGAGTCCTAACCGTTGGACTGCCAGGGAATTCCCAGAGTTGCCCTTTTTGAATTGTAAAATATTCATTCCTCCAACAGTTTATAAACACCTTAAAATTACACACCAAAACAAAATCCTTATACTCACCTTTATATCTGTATAGTCACTGCTTTGAATATAGCAGGCACCAAATAAGTAGGAACTGTGTGATTCTCATAGAACTTGTTTCTAGGACTCGGGCTTGTATGAAGAGGAGGAGGTGCCATGGCTCTTAGTGGCCACTAGAGGCTCTCAGGGCTGGGCAGGGTATGGGGGCTGTGTATATGTGATCTCCCACTACCCCCCACCTGGCCAGAGCTAAAATAATAAAATGCTGAGCTCACTGTTCCCCCACCCTCTCCCCCGTCGCTGGGCTTCTCCTGCTGCCAGGACAGTGCTCCAGTAGAACAGACAGACCAACCTACAGAAGGGGAGGTGAGAACGGAGGTGGCCACCAGGACTGGTAGGTGGGGAAGGCAGGGGCCTTATGGATCAGAGCCTGGTGGGAGATGGGAGGAGAAGAGTGGCTCTTATTGGGAATGAAATGGAGTGTGTGCCTCTTGTCACTCAGCATGTTTCTGCCACTGTCTTATGTTCTCCCTTAACTGTAGTTTACATTGTCAATGTAAGTATCTCACACATTTTCTGAATCTTTCATATTCAGTATGGTGTGTATGTGTGGCTTGTGTTTATTTTTCACATTGTAAAAGATATTGCAAGTTTAATCCTCTCACTGTTTTTAGAGAAACTTTATCCCATTTATAAGGCATTTCCCACCCATTAGACCGGTGTCACCTTCCTGTCCAAAGCCAGGGACAAATTATGGGAACTCAGTACCTGCTTCTAAGGCCATACCACCCTTCCCCCAACCTGGAAGTCCCCCAGCTCCTCTGAGCCCTTGCTTTGCCTTAGGATTTAGAATTTTAGCAAACATAGTGAAATCTTGATCCGACACAATAAAAGAGGAAATGAGGGTAGAGTCAGAGCACTGTCTCCCCACCCCCACCCCCACCCGCTGCAATCCTCCTTGCTTTCTTAAGCCAGTTTAGGAAAAACTGGATTATGGGGACGAGAGGAGGAATTTCCCTGAAGCTCTCTGCCTGCCCCCATTCCTTTCAATAGGAACTGGGCTTGGGGCCAGCTGTGCTTGCAGGGCTCCCGGCAGCTGTGCTAGGGCAAGAGGCACGGACAGTCGAGGTAATAGGGGAGAGGTACTGCCAGGATTTCTTATACACTGGGGAAGGCAGATTCAGCCTGGATGCCTGGGATCCCCATCCGGAGTGGGTGGAAGCTGTGGGAGCCAGAAGGAGGCTCTGGTCCTAGCTAAACAACCTAGCCTTCCCCCATCTTCCCATATCCAACTAGGTCTATCCTCCAAGGCAAGCAGTTTATTGTTCTGCCCCACTGACCTGTCTCTTTGTCTCCCTACTGCGTCCATGTACATCTTTCCATTGTCCAACCACTTTCCCCATGTACCCCAGGCTCCGTGAGTGCCACACTGTGGGGAGGGGGTGGGGGCCATCATGTCATCGTATCAGAAGGAACTGGAGAAATACAGAGACATAGATGAAGATGAGATCCTAAGGACCTTGAGCCCTGAGGAGCTAGAGCAGCTGGACTGCGAGCTACAGGAGATGGACCCCGAGGTAGGGGCTCTAGCACAGGGTACCAGGGGCAGTCCCCAGGCATTTGGGAAGGGTGTGGGGCCCTGGGTGACTGAGACCAGGGCTATCTACAGGGACTGGAGTCCCAAGAGGGTCAGGGGAATGGTGTCTGGAGATGTTTTGGGGAGACTTGGAGGTGCCCCAGGTCAGAGGGGAGGTCTGAATTGCTCCCCAAAACTCATCCCTAAGAACATGCTCCTGCCAGCTGGACTAAGACAACGTGACCAGACAAAGAAGAGCCCAACGGGGCCGCTGGACCGAGAGGCCCTTTTGCAGTACCTGGAACAGCAGGCACTAGAGGTCAAAGAGCGTGATGACTTGGTTCCCTACACAGGCGAGAAGAAGGGTATGGAGACCCTAACATCCATGCCTCCCAGAACCCAAATTGTTGTCTCTCAAATGTCCCCTCCAGCTTCCCTCTCACCTTCCAGCTCCTAGCTGCCCAGGGACTCAGCTGCCTACACCTGCATGCCAGCTTGCACTCTTCAGCTCTTAGAAGAGATCAAGGGGACCCAGGAGTCCTGAGCTTGTAGAGAACTCAGGCTTTATAGTGGCTCCTAGTAACCCAGCATTCCACCTCCTGGAGAAGGAAAGGAATCTGGAGGCCAGGATCTTAGGAGAAATGACCTGTACCTGAACCATCCTCATCTCCCCATCAGGGAAACCCTATATTCAGCCCAAGAGAGAAATTCCAGCCCAGGAGCAGATCACTCTGGAGCCTGAGCTGGAGGAGGCACTGGCCCATGCCACAGATGCTGAGATGTGTGATATAGCAGGTGGGCAGCTGTGGGAAGTTGAGGAGTTGGGAAGATCTGGGGCAGGGGCTCCTAACCATGGCATGGGGCTAGCGGGGAAGGCCCTGAACCAGGATGTGGACGTTTTGAGACAGCCTCAGGCAGTGGTTTTAAATTTTTCTTACTTGTTTATGTATGTATTCACTCATCTTTAAATTTAATAAGTTAACAACTCTAGGGCAATTTTACAGGAATTATAAAGCAAAACTATTCTGGCTGAAAACAGGAGGGTCTCCCTGACAGACTCCCTCACCCTGTAGTGTCTCCTTAGGGATCTTCCCTTAGCCCTGTCTCAATGTTTTAAAAACCACTGCCTTAATGCAGTTTAATGGAAGGGACCCCTGGGACCAAGGGAGAGTGGAAGAGGTCAGCCTTCAAAAATGCAACAGATTCAGAATGAGGTCGGTGGGGGACCTGGAACAAGTCCATTTCTCTCATTCCCTGTCTCCCCTCTGCTTACTCTCTCCAGCCATTCTGGGCATGTACACACTGATGAGCAACAAGCAATACTATGATGCTATCTGCAGCGGAGAAATCTGCAACACTGAAGGCATTAGCAGTAAGTGTGTTTGGGAGCATGGCGCCCAGGGCTCTCGGCAGGCAGTCCCAGAGTCTGAGCAAAGGTAGCAACGGGTGAAACAGGTGAATCAGGGAGAGGACATGATGCATAAGTCATGAGAACCAATGGGGAGGAGATTGTGGGGGACATGTTGGGGTTTCCTTCCTGCCCTCACCCACCAGGTGTGGTGCAGCCTGACAAGTATAAGCCAGTGCCAGATGAGCCCCCAAATCCCACAAACATCGAGGAGATACTGAAGAGTGTTCGAAGCAATGACAAGGAGCTGGAGGAGGTGAACCTCAATAATATCCAGGTATCTGGCCCCCATCCTCTAAGCAATAACACTGGGATAACTCTGCTGACATATGTGAGTCCCCTAGCCCACCATCTCCTATTCCCCTTTGATAGGACATCCCGATACCCATGCTAACTGAGCTGTGTGAAGCAATGAAGACAAATACCCATGTCCGGAGCTTCAGTCTGGTGGCCACAAGGAGTGGTGACCCCGTTGCCAGTGTAAGGCTAGCTGACATCCCTAGCCCTCTCCCTGCACCCTGACATGCCCCGCTGGCAGGGCTGACATAAAGGGTTGTGCTGGGGGTGCTGTTCCCATCATGCTCTCTTAGGGGACCCCTGCTGGAGACTCCTACCCTCAGTCCTATGACTCACTGCTCTGAAATCCTCAGCTCATCTTCCTGAAGAGCCACAACCCTCCTACCCACGCCAACTCCACTGCGCACTTAATCTCCCTGCTTTCCTTGCTACCTACTCCCACACCTGCCTCCCACAAGCCCCACCCACAGCTCAAGGACTCTTCTCCAGGAGCTGTGTTTCCCTCTTGCTCCTGTTCTTTCTCTCCTCAGTCATCTGTGAAACTGTCCCCTAACCCTAACCCAAGTTCCTACTACCCAGGCGGTGGCTGACATGTTGCGTGAGAATCGTAGCCTCCAGAGCCTGAACATTGAATCCAACTTCATTAGCAGCACAGGGCTCATGGCTGTGCTGAAGGCAGTTCGGGAGAATGCCACACTCACTGAGCTCCGCGTAGACAACCAGGTCAGCATTCCCTTCCCATCTCCTGGTCTTTGCAGTCAGCTAATACTCACTGAGCCTCCTCCCTGAGGCAGCCACTGGGGCAGGAGCTCATCTGATCTTGTTTGAACTCTCCTCTTCTTTGTCCCTATGAGGGGAGCCAAGGCAGCACCTCTTATCACCCACTCCGGAGAAACAAGCCTCTTTGACCTCCCAAAGGGTCGGTGGTCTAGGACAGTGAACAAGCCAGACAGGGTTGGTGACAGCTTCCATCTCTCCTTCCCCCAGCGCCAGTGGCCTGGCGACGCAGTGGAGATGGAGATGGCCACCGTGCTTGAACAGTGCCCCTCCATTGTCCGCTTTGGCTACCACTTTACACAGCAGGGGCCACGAACTCGGGCAGCCCAGGCCATGACCCGGAACAATGAACTGCGTGAGTAGCTGCAGAGGTGGTGTGTGGGGGAGAGGGCACGTAGCTGCAGAAGCTGGTGGATGCTCCTGAAAGCTGACTTAGTGACTAACAGCCTGGGGTGCTGCCAAAGTGACTCACATGAGAAGCTCAAACCCCACAGGTGATCCGAAAGTAGACAGAAAAGCACCTCTGCCCAAATATACCAGGAAAGAGGCGGAGGGAAGCTACAAATACCTGTTTGGGGGAATGGTATTTTTATTTGCTGCGTTGTTTCTTATTTTGTTAATGTGAGGGGGGAAGGGCATGTTTGGTGGCCTAAGACATTACCTCTTTATGAGTCTGGCCAAGGAACTAGAAAGAAGAGCACCTCTGCAGGAAGCAAGAGATGGGATAATGACTTGTGTTTACTCTTCTTCCTTTACAGGTCGCCAGCAAAAGAAGAGATAACGCTACCCTTCCCTTTACCAACTAGAGCTCGGAGCCCTGAAAGCTTAAATCCTCAACTTGTAAATAAAAACCCTTCTGTCCACTCTGCCTGCCTCCTTCCTTCGGCTTTGGGGTGGAAATCTTGGCGCTAACCCCCAAGGGTTACTGCCAGTTCATCAGGGGATTATTTATACTCTGGGGATCAGCAGGCAGGGAGGTTCAGGTTACCAGCAGGAGGTGGGGGAGCTCCCTCCCTTGGTGTTCCCCATAACCCTTCCAATGCCTTTAGTCTCTTCTACTTTCACAGGGTGGCCAGCCCTGGCCCTGTTTCTTGACATGTCCAGCCCCTCCCCCCGAACACCTACCCACAACCCCCATGTTATTTGAAGGAGGAAAGGACTTTGAGTGGAGGTGGAGAAGAAGGCAGAAAACATGAAGGGCAAAAATCTCCTTCTGACAGACTTATTAATAGGGCACCGGGCTGCATGCAGCTGACGCTTGGCATGACTTTGGTAGAAGGTGGGGGAGGGGTTAGAAGTATGGGGAGCTGTGTACATTGCAGAGAAGAATTGGCTGGGCTGAGAAGGAACAATTCTGAAATCCTGAAACAAGGAGCCAGACTCAAGGAAAGTTAGGCTCCCAGCACCGACTGTAGTTTATTTGTGAACTGAACGGGGAAAGAGGGTGTCAGTCCAAGGGGAGATCAGGGGGTTCCTCTTCATCAGAGTCAAACTCAACATTTTCATCTTTTACCCATCGACCTCGTCCATCTGGGATCCATCCAGAGCTGGAAACATCAGAAAAAAGAGAATTGGTCAGGAAAGGAAGTTTATCAAGAAATTAGTGGGGATAAGTAAAAACACTTGAAAAGCTTTGAAAAAAGGAGGGTCAGAGAGAAAAGGGGAAATCTGAGGAAAGTGATTCTGCATACTCACCTTCGAAGGGTGAGGTAATGATCCAGGGCCCGTTTTCTTGTGGGGCTCATAGGTGCAGGGGATGAGACAGTTGCTGACTCCTTGGTCTGTGAGCCAGCCTCAGGCTCAGGTTCTCTACTGATCTTCCCACCTTGGGGTTCAACCTCTGGGGGTGGCAAAGGGGAATGAGAGACAGAGGGACGAAGGGCTTCTGGTCTGGGTAGAGAAGAATCAAAGTCTGTAAAAGCAGTAAAGGAAAGGGCCAAATCTCCTGTGACTCCCAACCCCTTAAAGCAGTGCTTCCTAAAACTGTGTTCCTCAAGATATTAATAAGCGTTGTGCATAAAAAGGATTTTGGAATCCAGTGAATTTAGGAAAGGCTAAGTTAACTTTTTAAAGGTTTTTTTATCTTAAGACTTTGTAGACCCCTTAAAATACACTAATATTACTATTCTTCAAATAGGATTACAAAGCACCACTTCCCAAACTTTTTTCTTAATTACAAGATTCTTTTTCCTGAAATACAAGTTAACACCTCCAGAACACTAGTATTCCTCAGATTACAATTAGGAAAACAATCACTTTAGAGCCATCTATCTCCTGTCCCTCCCTATCTCTGGCTTTCCCACCCCACACACCTGTACTTCCGGCGGCAGCAACTGTTATAGTGAGGAGCTCTGTGCAGAGCATTCTGGGTGATAAGTCGAGTCTGGGTTAACAGAGGAGCCTGGCATGGAGATGGGAGACAGAATCAGAGCCTTCAGAGCTAGAAAGAAGCCCAAGCCCTTCAAGCCTAGGGTGTGCAGCACAGTCCTGCCTGGAACACAACCTCCCCACTCTGATTACCTCCACTTTGGTCTCTTCCCTCCTTAGTTCATTCTGCTCTCTTGGATTCTGCTCCATGCCCTTTCCTGGCTGCTTCTTGCCATAGAAAAGCTGCAGGCCTGAGGAGGAAGGGGAAGATAATTAAAAGCAGAGCACCAAGGGTGGTCTGAAGAGATTTTAAGGGTTTAGTCTCCATCCTCTGTCTTCTCCCAAACTTACTGGACAGATGCTTCTTGCCTGCACGGTGGGCAGTCAGCATGGCCAGAGTGTCCAGTACAGGTCGATGGGGACATATGGCACAAGCAAAGCTGGGGAGGAGGAAAGAAGAAGAAAATTGGCCCCAGAGTAGTGGAGTCTCGGCCATAGGTCCCACCCCGTCCTAGCACTCCTTTCCAAAGTCTCCCAATGTCCACCAACCACATCCCTGTCGCTCACTCCTAGCTAAAGAATCTTAGATGCTCCCGCTCTCCTCCTTAATAACAAAAGTTTATTAGGCATCCCTGGTGGCACAGTGGTTGAGAGTCCGCCTGCCAATGCAGGGGACACGGGTTCGAGCCCTGGTCCAGGAAGATCCCACATGCCGCAGAGCAACTAAGCCCGTGCGTCACAACCACTGAGCCTGCGCTCTAGAGCCCACGAGCCACAACTACTGAAGTCCGCGCACTTAGAGTCTGTGCTCCGCAACGAGAAGCCACCACAGTGAGAAGACCGCGCACCGCAACGAAGAGTAAGCCCCGCTCTCCGCAACTAGAGAAAGCCCGTGGGCAGCAACAAAGACCCAACGCAGCCAAAAAAAAAAAAAAATTTATTGAGCCTCTAACCGCAGAACCCTTAGGCTTGATCCACTCCTCGCCCTCACCGTCCATCCCGTAGCATCAGCGCCTCATCCTCTGGGATATAACTAGCCAGCAGATCCCCAACTCTTCGTTTCTGCAGGAGATAGGGGAAGAAGTCCGGACGGGATAAAAGTGAAATGATAGGGACGAGGACTCAAAGGGAATAAAGACCATGGGGCGAGCAGAGATCTGGGGCGAAGAAGGGGTCAACAGCAGCTCTAGTCGTCTGGCTCCCTCCGCACCACCCCCCACCAGTTGTTGTCACGGCAACAAAGCAGCTCCTTCACATCCTTCAGAGGGCAGGTGAAGCTGCTCCAGACGCTCTTCTTCGCGCTTACTTTGAGCACATTGAGTTGACTCCAATCATCCCCTTCCCTCTTGAAAGACATCACGACTGTGAGCCCCAGAAACGACCAATTCTACGGCTCCGCCTTCGGCACTCCTTTCAGGCCACCGTAGCGAGAGTGGGACCGCTACCTTCCTTCCTGTCTCTTTCCGGTTGGCCCCCTTACTTCCGGGGACGCTCTTCCACGCATGCACTGCGCGATCCCGGAAGCCCGCCCCTTGCCTGCGGATGGGGACTGCATTTCCTATGGTGCCCTGCGACCCCGCCGGCGCGGAGCCTTTAGGGAAATGAAGTCTTTTTTTCAAAGAACTTGCCGCCGGGCTGGATACAGGCCCCTGCATCTTGACAGATTCGAGGGTTTGGAGGGACAAGAACCTAGATGTGGAGCCCGAATTTGAGGGTGTGACTAATTTGATGTGGAGGGTACCTTTGAGGATCTCTGAGGGGAAAGTGTGCTGTAGACTCTCGCTTTCATCACGCGCTTCTCCTGCGGCCACAGCCCACCTGGGGTGGGCCTGATTTGTTCCCGACCCTAGCCGGCCCACCCTGGGACGGGGCGGAGTCGGGGTGTTGAGGGGCCGGGAGGTCGGGCTGCCGGACCTAGGGGCAAACTGAGCTGAGTGTTGAGGAGGTTGTCTAGAATTCAAAGGTCAGAGGTCAATGTCGCGAGTTGTTGTGGGGAATCGAAAGTCGGAGGGGTGCTAAGGAGAGACTCAGGTAGAGACTGAATAGTCGGAGTACAGATTGGTGGGAAAGGGGCTTGGAGGGAGGAGAAGCGAGGGCTGTGAGGTCGCGTAGTGCCGGGGGAGGCGGGGAGACTTAGGACAGAAGACTGAAGGGGAAAGGAATCCTCTAAGTCCTAGAGACCCCGGGCCCGTCACTATTGGTCACTTAGACAGGCCTCCCGCAGTTGCAACCCCAGTTGTCCGCAGGGTGAGGAGATGGCTTCTCCCTCTAGACAGGCCCCCCTTGGCGGGTCAGGACTGCTTCAAGGGAGCCGGGCTCGTTCTTATGGAAGCCTGGTGCAGTCTGCCTGCTCCCCGGTGAGGGAAAGACGCCTGGAGCATCAGTTGGCGCCCGGAGACACCCTGGCTGGACTAGCACTCAAATACGGGGTGACGGTGAGTCTTAACAGGATTGGGACGCAGACACCCACTTAAAAGAGACTTATTTCTCATGAGTAGGTAGTGGCCCTCTAGGCAACTTCCCCTGAAATTTTCTTAATTGTGTTTAAATTAACTAATTTTGATAAATTAATTGTGGTGTAAGTCTGGTCCACCTTTGTCTTTTGGTTTGTGTTCCCATCGCAGTGTTGCACTGTCTGGTTGGGACAAATCCTGTCTCACTATCCCAATGGAGGGGAGCAACTCCTATTTATTATGCCAGTCACTATACTAAAGACTTTACATCTGTTAGCCCATTTGATCCTCACATCCCTGTCAAGCACACAATTATTGTCCCCTTTTTACAGATGAAGAAACCGAGACTTAGATTGGTTAACCAGTTTGACCAAGGTCAAATAACTAAAGTGTTGAAGTGAAAATTCAAACAGGTCTGTCTGACTCCAAAGCTTGTACTGTTAACCACATAGCAACACTAATTGAGAGTGATTAAACATTTACAGCAAACAGTGGAGAGCTAGTTTTTAGTCCTAAGTTCCCTACCTGCCTGTCTGTTGTTCTTTTTTCTCCTCAATGCTCTGCCCTCTTCTTTTCTGGAAGGTGGCCTCCTTGGTACAAAACAGGTACTCTCTATGCCAAGCATTTCAGCTCCTGCATAGGGTGTATTTGGTAGATGTAAAAATACATTGTTTTAAAGTTGATAAAGGTGGTTTTTTTTTTCCATATCCGGTTGAATTTAGTCAACATTTTAATGCTTGGTATGTTTAAAGCACTGTGGTAACCACCTTGGGAGACAGAAACATAAATAAAGTATATAGTTGCTGTCCTCATGAATTTACAGTCTAGTGAGATATGGACAGGGACACAAATAATGATTGTAGGTGACAGAATGTGGTGAGTTCGTAGAGGTGTTAACAAAGAGGGGGAAGTCAGGAAAGAAGACTGATTTTTATTTGGAAGGGGACATCGGTGCAGATTTTAAGGGAGCCATCGCAATGGGCCTTGAAAGACTTGGACATTCTTTCCTCTATGCTCCTCTCTATAAACCTATGTAATCCAGTGGTT